TTTGAAAAAGCAAGGAGGGGGCAAATGCCCCGGCTTGCACTCCCCTGCGGGCGCCTATGATGACTATAATAGGTGTCATTACAGCCAAGACCGTAACTGGGGGTGGTTCAGGGGCCCACCCCCCTAAAAAAATTATTTTCAGTTACGGTCATGATGATTACGGGGTAGCAAGGGTATAGTCAAACTATTATTTATATTAATTTTAAGTTTTGTTCTTTGATCATCATAAAAAAACAACGGAACATATTCTATTATCACTATATATTATACATATTATATTATAATAGATACATAATATTAGATATATTGTACATTATATCTGCCTATTACAGATAATATATAAATATAAAAATATAAGCACATTTTATAAAAAAATAGATATAGGTACTATAGCTTATTGCAGTTGAATATCAATATCTTTATTCTTAATAACTCAATTTTTTTCTTGTCCCTTAAAAATGGAAAAACATAAAAAAAATCTGTATAAGCATAACTTAATTTTATATAATTTGATAAATACAGAAGTCAAATTAATTGTATAAACCTGAAAAACGACTTCAATACCGATAATCAAGTGTACATCTGCATTAAGTATTGCAGTTTATTATTTTTAAAATATAATAAATAGGTTTTATTTCATGCCCGTACATAAAATCTAAAAACAATTTAAGTTATAAAGTATACACCCAATAGTGTTTTGGAGGGTTATGGGTATATATCACGTATACCTATCCTTTACCATTTGGTGAATTTATTAGCGTAAATATACTCTGTATACGTATAAGTTTATCTGATACCTATATTGGCTATTGATATAGAAAATTATCGTTCGTGACAGTCAAATTGTAGTTTTATTGATAGTTAAAATATTTTTTGAGTTGCCGCCATCGTCACAGAGTACCTAATAAATATTGCCAGGAGAATTATCAGATTTTATGTTATAAAATGTTAAATCAAACCTGTAAAAAAGTTATACTTAGGTAAAGGAATAAAAATGGACAAAACTAGGTAATAAAAATATATGTTAGTAAATTTTGTAAATTTTTGAATTTATTCTGTAAGAACCTTGTGAAATAATAGTTTACGAGTGAAGCAAAAGGATTTTAGAAGGGTTGAATCAATGGACCATGGCTGTGTGCCTGTATTAATGCATAGACAGTAAGCACCTGCATGTCTAAGGTCTACAAAAATGTGTGGCTCTGAATTTTGTATTTTTTTTTTTATTATTTTAAGTTAATACACAGTTTATACATTTTAGAAAAACTAGTAAAATTAAAAATATAATTACGAATATAAAAATTAAGAATTTACTGACCAAAATATTAATACTACTAAAATATTTACATCATTCTTCGTTATTTACCAGGTATCGTAACTCATAATAACCTAAAGTAATCATATTTGATAAACTGATGGAATTTCGCTCACATAAGCATATGATGATACGTCCAATTTCAATAGACTGTTAAGAGTATTTTAGGAAATATATTTCTGAACAGTGGATTTGGTTAAAATTATTATCTTGAAATGTAACATTTTATTATTCTTCCTCTSTGAAAGGAGATCAGAAGACTTCCACGGTTCCTCAGTCAGTCATTAGAGTTGTTGTATATGTACTAACTAATTAGACTGCGTCAGGTGGACAGCTGATGTAAAATTTGTGACAAACAGGATGAGACAGTGGCGTGCAGAACATTTTTCAGACTAGAGGCTAACTATACAATTTGACACCCACCCTACAACCATCAAGTTTTGCACTTTATAAAAAATTGTATACATTTATATGATATTTAAAATGTATGATCAAACTAGTGCCCAGTTGGCCAGTTGCACACCTATAGTAACCCATCCACCCACCCACCCGTATTTTCCCAGAGGCAGTTGCCTCAAAAAATAGCTGTTCAGCACGCCACTGGGATGAGAAGTACTTATCAAAACTTATCGATTTGTCCCATCTCTGATGTGCACGGGGACGACAGATAAGAGGAAATATCGTAGGTGGAAGAGGCTTGGATGTTGAAATGTGTGATACCAACCGGACAGCCAGTGCAGTAGCACTAGTAGCAACTTCACCAGTTATGTGTTCAGGTCTACCCAACACGAGTA